AGACGCCTATTCGGCAAAGTTGTTCACTTAGTTAAGGTGTAGCAAATGGTCAACAAAATAAACAAAAACTCAAACGCAGCTGAAGGAAAAGAATCCCTCTTAAAGAGACAAAGGCTTAACAAATCATCTTAAAAAAACTACTTGTGGAATAAAGAGGATGATTAAAATTCAATTATCATGCGCAAAAAGCTTCGTGAATTTTAAAGAGACACTCGAGTTAGTCAATATCTAGGACTCTGAATGTTGGCCATTCTGAGGACCTAATAAATATCCTCATAAAACGAGCCTAGAACTTTCACCTTTCCTTCTTGATCATCGTTGTTGAAGTTCCGTTGTTATGGATAACGAAATACTCCGCTTTAAACATTTGGTATCTTTCTGCACTTTTAATATAGACTCATTATATTTTATCGCAAAGTTGTAGGTACTTGGAGAATATTATATGCTAATTATTACAATGTTTGGACAATATTTGGGAGTTGCTGAGGTGATTAGAAATGTAGATGTAGTCACCAATCGAAATAGACTTACTAACAAATCAAAGAAATACCGCCTCAAATACCGTGGCAAACGAACAATTTGATTGTTGACAAATTTTTGCTTTCTTGTTTCTTTTTATCCATCTAGTTACAAAAGTTTTTTCGAAATCTTGTTGCGGTTCACGTAGTAACCAAGTAATGATAGAGTGTGAAGTGAATGTAACGGATCCGGTTACGTTTCGAAGACATAAAACCAAGCTCGTCTAAGCTTCGTTTCTAAAGCAAGTCAGTAACGAAGGTGCACTGATGGCTCTTTGGCGGATTTTTGGAAGAAGGTTATTCAGCAAACGTCGTCTTACTGTGGGTGCGATTGTGGCAAGTTTACCTTTTATTGGTTATCTAATGCTACTTTCGCCTTCAAGAAGACTTTCCAATTCATTTTCGGCCAACGAACATAATTCATTATCTACAGCCTCAGCAACGAAACAAATCTGGAATCAGACGATAATGGCCGAAATTCCAACGACAGGAAGCATTAACTTGACAACAGCACCGATGACGGCGGCAGTTACTACTGACAAGGTACAAGTTATGAATGTTGTTTCAAGACCACCAGGACGCCTTGAAGTCCACATGTGGACTGAGATATGTGGAACGACGGTCGAAATGTTAAGGAACTGGCCTCATTTTCCTTACTTTCCCGACGCACGTTCGTACATCTCAGATTTTCATGATGTTCACGCACGTGGTTCTAAAAATAACGGAGAGAGAGTTTTTGGATTCATTCATCCTGCAGTACACGGTGACTATAAGTTTGCCATATCATCGGATGACACATCTGAGTTATGGTTGAGTCAAAATGAGGACCCTGGTTCCAGTGAGATGATTGCACGTGTTTATTCTCCTCGACAGTCGGCGTGGACCGAAGAAGGGGACTACAAAAAATATCCAGAACAAATTTCTAAAGAATTCACTCTCTTCGCTGGGAAGAAATATTACGTCGAGGCTTTAATGAAGCAAGGTTCTGGCGCCGCTCATCTAGCGGTGTATTGGTCCTACAAAAATGCGACATTTGAAATAATAACCTCGAAATATTTATCCACGTATCCTTACACTCACGAATCAATGATTCCCGTTCATGCGGGAAAAAGAGACAATACATCGTTGCAAAAAAAATACAGCCTTTACGACTTCAATCGTCTTCCACTCTTAAACCGGCAAGAGTATGTTGACTTATTTCCAAGTTGCTCCTATAATCCCAGTTTTCTGGTCCGCAAGAAGCTGAAGCGGTACGAAGGCGTGTGGAATACAAGACGATCAAACGTTTTTCCCCAAGACAGTACCGACATGTCAAATCGTGGACCAAAACACCAGTGGTCTTTTCCTAATCTGTTGATTGACGGCAATGTAGTCCAATTTGTGGTAGACCGCTTTGTTAACACATTAAAGTTTGAGAGGTAAGAAGTCGGCCGTATTTTACATTTTCACAAAATAGAAAAATTCGACAATTGCACTTAATATAATTGAAGAAATTTTTGAGAAGTTGAACTTGCGCAAACAATTGTTTTTGAATTATTTTTTTTCACGCGCCTGTTAGCAATATAGCCATTGGTTTGATTGATTGATTGGAGAAGATGAAATCACACTTAGATGTTAAATGTGATAAACAGCCTCGGGTAAACAAAGTTTAACACAGTAAAACCTTACTGAGCCGTTTTCCCAACTCTCTCTGCATTGTGCCACATCACATATGTGTGTGAATAATATGATAGAATTTCATGTTTTAACTCTTTACGTGACTTAAGTCGACCATTGCCACTTCGATGTTGGTTCGTGTATTTCTTGTTTTTAATATCCGGGAAGCTCGGCGATTCATGTTTCTAGTTTTATATATAAAAAAAAAACAACAACAACAACTAAAACAAAAAACGAAAAAAAAACGAAGCACACTAGACAGATTCCAAATTTTATTCAAGTCACAATTCAAGTCACAATGATTCCTTTTCGTGAAGTAGGATACTTGGGAGCTATGAAAGTAAAAAAGCTGACTAAACACCGAAGAAGGAATATATTGACCAACTATGAATAATTTTCATAAAGAAATGGGCACATCATTAAGCTTCATTATAAACTGACATATTTTCTTGCCCTCGCTGTTGCCGATGTGATGTGCTCTCACCCTGATTCACCAAGTGAGTGCTTAAAAAATGAGTGACTCAGATGAATTATGGATGAAGAATGATTTTGTTCCATTCTTTTGTAACCAAAGCGGTCAATTGCAAGACTGGCATATTTTCACCATTAATCGTAAAAGAACTTAATTGTAAAAAAGATGCCTTAACTTTAATAGAAAGAAATTAACCGTTAGCCGTAATATGGCCAAAATATTTACTGTTAGCCGTAAAAGCCATATCCTCACTGAGACCTCAGTGTTGTGTAGGAGAGAATTTAATTTAAAAGCGTAATTTCCAACTTTGTCAACATTCGGGGAACATTTGAGATCTAATTATTACTGGAAAAGCGGTTTATCCGTTTGATAGTTTTATCTTCCTTTTGATGAACAGCTGGGCTCAGGCTGTTATAAGTGTGAAACTCAGGGAACTGTGAACACGATCAATGTGCATAGAATGTTTTACTGTTTGAGAGAAAAAGCCATCGGGCGTCAAAAAAAAATTTTATACTTAGTTTGCGATCTTCAGCGGGTTTGCTTGCCTGTCCTGAAATATGCTTTGATTGGTCAGAATACAATTTCAAAAGCCGCTAGAGTTAAATTGAGTGCTTTCTTTCTTTTTTTTTCTCAGTGGATTTAATAACCAACCGCGGCTGATTAAACTTTGATCATACGTTTCTCAAACTTACCTAGAATTCAGGAGTGACTATGAAACCTGCATGATTTGGAACTATGATGTTGCTATTGTGCTGAGTTCAAAAAACAGACGTCTGCGTCTATTAAAGAGCATTTCATTTCATATCATTGCATGATATTTCACCAAAAACTCGCTTTTTTATTTAATGTTTTGTTTGTTCATAGTAAACACTAGATATTTCTCCCTTCAATAGACGAGCATGGTAACGGTGGTTTTGACAAATTAGAGACCTTAGGCAGGACGTAGCAAAATGGGCGGAACAATAGCACGTGCGTTTTAAAACTTTGTACATTTCTTAGCCGTTCCCTACAAAATAACAACGTAAAATCACCAAACTTTGCCTGGTCCGAGAACGGAAAACCGTAAGCAAATTATTTAAGTTTCCATGCATTCAAAACTCAAAGCTACTCCCATAAGTTTTGCTGAAGTTGAAGTGTGGTGCTGTAAGAGACGATAAACACATCCCACCATTCACTAAATTCTGACGAAAGACATAAAATCCCTTTTTAAATCGACTTCTTCCTCGGCGTTGCCGTCGTAACTGCTTTAAGCTCTCTAATTATCAGCCTTATTTACGATGTTTTCATATATAATAATCACCCCAATGAGACCCTATCTATGAATAGTTTTAATAAACAAGTTAAGTCATTTAATTACTACTAACAACTAATTTCCATATCTTTACTAAACTATCTTGTCACGTTATGCTTGTCAGGGATTATTACTTGAAGAAAATTCACAAAGTAATTCATAAACCAGACCCCAAGAAAGGTGATCGCTTTTTATTAAACCTTGAGCTTGGTTCAACGCACAACAATCAATCGTATCGGCTATCGGAACACGTGTATCGTACACAGGAGAGTGAAAAATTGTGTCTTCCTGAGGGAATGAAGTGGAATAACAGCGCCATGGTCTACTTCATTCTACCTGTCAAGGATCAAGGCAAATGGGTGCACCATTTCATCAATGAACTCACTGCTGCCAGTTTATTGACAGGAGATACAAACTTTCACGTTATAATCATCGATTTTGAAAGTAAAGACATCGATATGGTCAAAGCTTTTAACACACCTCTTCTACATAGTAGACATACTATTATTTCACTGACTGGTAAATTCTACAAGACACTTGCTCTAAACAAGGCAGTCGCACAAGTTCCAAATGCTAATGATATAATTTTTCTTTATGATCTACACATTGATGTGCCCCCAGACATCATGGACAGCGTCAGAATGGTAAGTCATTCGTTTGCAATTGGCAGTTATAGCAGTTGAGGAGCTAAAAAGGGGTCTGTGATGCTGGTCTATGTGCAATGCAAGTGCAAGTGCAAGTGCGAGGGAATGTGTGCATTTTCATATAATCTTTTTTCTTAGGTCTGGTAAAAAAAGCTGTTAATGAAACTTGGGTCAGAAAAAAAGCCTGAGAAAGTAAACATTCCAATCTGTAAAAAGATGACCACTTTCAAGGCAATACATGTAGGAGAAGAGATTGTCTCACTGAGAGGATAAAACCGAGCTCAGCAACAGTGATATAAACTTTAGAAGCAAGAGAAACATTACGGTTTTGCTTCCCTTGAAAGTCTGGCAGCCTTATTTTTGGTAATTGTTATATCTTACATTTATTATCTCTTCTACTTTCCTTAGAACACCATAGCCGGAAAACTAGCTTATTTTCCTATTGTTGGCCGTCTTGATTGCCAAAGTTCTTCTGTAGACCATAAAGGATTTTGGCAACTAGATGGGTATGGACTTCTTGCTATTTATAAATCAGACTGGGAAAAGTTTGGAGGTGGGTAGTAACTTTAGCTTTTATTGTTATAAACGTGAAAAGACCGTTCTCCTAATGGTACACGACTAAAAAATCAAAAATTGATCATATTAAAAAATAAGATTTAAAAATAAAATCAAAAAATCTATACAGCAAAAACTAAACATTTCAGGCCATCGTACCTAATATTCCTGGGAACATGACTTCCTTGTCATGTTCATGATTGAAGACGCTTAAAAATATGATTTGGAATGTACTAGTCATGTGTAGTCCGAAATCACACAACGGAGAATTATACTATTCTATCCCCAGGTATGAATGCCGAAGAGTACAAATTCAAATGGGGCGGGGAAGACTGGGACCTACTTGATCGTGTATTAATGTTGCCCATAGAAGTGGAAAGGTTGAGACACCCAGGTCTCTATCATCATTATCACACCAAGACCAAGATGTGGAGTTAGACAGCGCCTTGTTGCCAAAAAAATCAGGAACCTTGATCAAGCTGTGACAAAGGTGAAGGGTTTGGAACCAAAGATTCAATGAACAAAAACATTCGCTTCGGTTCGGTCGTTCAAATTGGTAGGACTCGACGTTGAAGGAATAAAAAAGAATAATGCAAGAGACATGTCGTATTTCTCTAATAAAAATAATAAGAAAGAACTTGATGTCAATCAATCGAACTTTAACTATTATTTTAAAATCATTTTGACGCACAAACATGAGCCACATATACAAAAGTCGGACCAATGTCAGTATGTGAGCAACTGCGCACCTACCCCTCCCCTGACCCAATGGCAGTCAGCTGATAAAATGATAAGGTCAATGTCAGGTTAAGAGTGGGGTAGGTGTGCTGTTGCTGAGTTGTTTTGGGGATAGAACCATGTCCCCCTCTAATCAGATGCGTTACTATCAACTCAAAGGAGACTTGTTGTTAGTTGAGCACTTCTTACGTGTTCATAGGCATGTAAAAGGCTCGCACGGGGAACTTAGAGGCTCTTGCGGGGAACTAAGAAAGAGAAAAAGAGAGGGAGAGAAGGAAAACAATGAATAAGCACTCGCAATAGCAAAAGTATCGGTTGCATCCCATAACACCCTTAATCATTAGTGCAGGGTTCCATCACAAAAAATTTTTCTTAGGCTCATTGAACTGCTTGAGTTGATAACGTAACTTGGCCACTGTTAAGAGCTTGAAGGCTGACTTTTCGGGAGCTAGTCCTTCCTCAGAGCGAATGAATTCCGTGGTCACGGTATCAACGAGCGCTTTTCATTCAACCAATTTATTCTTGTTTTCTCGTGACCATATTCCCACCAATAGTGCAGCTCCATTTTCTGCATATAAACACACACACACAACCTACAATTCCTTCAATCGCTCTAAAGAAGGGCTAACGCTTGAAACGTCAGTTTTCAAACTCTTAACTGTGGACAATTTACGTTATCAACTTAGTTGATAATACCAAATTACAATGTTATACTATTCCGCAGACGCAGCACTAAAGTTTCTTTGGAAACCACTCCCATAACGATTTATGTGATTTCAATAATAACCTCGTCTATGTAAATAATTGTAGAACTGAGTGCTCAGCTAATTATCTAAGTAAACAAGGCTACAGGTGTCTAAACGCGACCTAAAAATAATGTTTCTCTTAGAGTTCCTTACTTCGAATGTAATGAGGCGTCATCTATTTTATCACTGATGCGAAATTAAAGATATCTGAAAGAAAGTAGCGCTTCAACACCATTTCCCAAGGGGATGATTTTTCTTCCGAACGATAATTGCTTGATAATTAAGGTCTTATCAACTGAGTTGATGATGTCAATTTGCCACCGTAAAGAGTTTCAAAGCTCTGACAAGGGGCTAACGCTCGAAACCTCAGCTTTCAAACTCTTTTTGGTACCCAATTTATATTATCAACTTACGTGATAAAATCAAAATCATCTTGTTATACTTCCTCACCGACGCAGCACGACACTTTCTTTAGAATTTACAATAATTCCTTGAGTTTTGCAGATCGCAGAATAGCGGTTGAATGCCCACATAAGAAGGATCTGGACTGTTGCCGCTTCAGGCTAAGTGCGGCGGAACGGATCACAGAGATAATGTGGTGAAGTTAATGTCCAAAAATCATAATGTTAAAGGGCCCACCTCCGGACCAGTAAAAAAAAAAAGTCATCGCTTTTAAAAGTTGTTTCCTTACGCTCACCGACAAAATTCCACACAGTTTCAAAGCGAAGTGATGAGCCTTCATTATCAAATGCACATCCGTTTAGGCGCCACCGTGATTCTTTGTTCAGGGATCGTTGCTGACCCATAGAGGTCCTTTCTTCTGTAACTTACGTCCGCCCAAAATGAAACCCGACATATCTTATCTCCAGTAATCAGGCAATCGTAACAATGGCGTCAACTCTCTTACCAATGAGAGAGCCTAGCTTTATCGCAATGAATGAACCACTTGTTTTCAGCCTGTTATAAGATGCACCTCACAGCAAATTTTCTATGCATTTCAACAACCCCTTGCAGAAGGCACAAACCTGCTGAAGTTGAAGTGTTTTAATCTAATCCAAGATTTGTCGCTGATTGCTCTCCACTAGATAAGGTAAGATACGACGTTAGGCTCATAAGCTCTTTAACCAACGTGACCTTACCGGTTGAATTTTTATTTCAAGCAGCGAGGATGTAATTTGTAGATTGGCCTCTGTATCCAAAGCTGACCTTTCAAGCGTTAGCCCTTTCTCAGGGTTAGCCCTTCGTCAGAGCGAGAGATTTACGTTATCAACCCAGTTGATAATACCAAATTACCTTGTTATACTCTTTCAACGACGCAGTACTACAGTTACTTTAGAAACTTACCGCCTTTAGCGATGAGGAGTAGTTCTCTTCACTTGACTCTCTGCAGACTCGACCATGTGAGAAGGAATAATAACTATGTGGTTTTTTTTTCCAAGTTTATCGAACGATGTGAAAATTTTCTGGCATCAAATGGATCGATTCGTTCTAACTCTCTTTTCTCAAAACAACCGGTTCAAAAAAGCAGCTATCATAAAGCTTTAACTTCTAAAACGAGGAAGAGCAAACGTTTCCCGCCGTGTTTCACCCGCCTGAAGTTCTATGATTTATGCAGTTAGCTATTAATATGAATAGGAGCAAGTCGGGCATCAGAGAGTCTCGAGATGTAAAAAAATAATAACAAAAATCGAATTTCCTTATACTTTTCATGAGTTTCGCAAGAAAAATTAACGGGTTTTGAAGACTTAGTTGTTTATCCAAGATTTTGACAATCAGCAAACGTTTCCCGCCGTTTTTCACCCGCTTGAAGTTCTATGATTTATGCAGATAGCTATTTATATGAATAGAAGCAAGTCGGGCATCAGAGAGTCTCGAGATGTAAAAAAAAAATAAAACAAAAATCGAAATTCCTTATACTTTTCGTGAGTTTTATAAGAAAAATTGACGGGTTTTGAAAACTTAATTCTTTATCCAAGATCTTGACAATCAACAATTTGAAAACAACTGTATATTTATGGTTAATATATGCACGCGGGAGAGTATCAATTGCATTTTTACAGGTATGATAAATTTTGGTGCCAAACATTTGCAAATTACAATTTCCCATAAATTATAGATTCGTTGGTAAAATGCGATTCTTGGAATTTTACTCAAACTCTTGTTTCAATAACCAACAAGAACTCAATCCACAGCCTAAAACTACCAAATTCATTATTATTTAAGTCGTAAATCTGCATATGAAATTATCTTCGCGCGCATACGCTTTAGGCCCGACTCAGACTTATAGCAATGGCTTCTTGATTGTAATGGGCTGCTTCGCACGATTGATTACATCTTACTTTTCATTTCAAGGGGCTAAAATACTCGTTAACTCGCCAAGTTCTCCATTTTAGCCGCAAAATGCACCACGATGCCCGACAAAGTGATAAAAAATTAAGAACTTAGTCTTGAACACCCTGTCTCCAAACCTAACTTTAGATTAACTAAACTGATTCATAACTTAATGAAGTCTTTGATAACAAAGACCTGTGCTGTTTGATGGTAGCTTAAAAAAAAAAAGAAAAGTCTTCTTATCATTTAATAAATACACCACTATTACTTGTTACTGCAGTATACCGTTATTCCTTAACTCTTTTGTCTTTCAATGAACACAGGATTGAAGATGTCTGCAAAAATAATTGTGTTATTTGCCGTTATCTACGTGGTCAACTGTCGCGTGCCATGTAAGTATGATTTCGATATTCTAAAAGAGCGAGACGAGGTATGAAATTAGTAAATTGGTGGTGACTCAGAAAGTGGAATATTCCGTGATTCTTCGCTCAAAGGAGCACCTTCCGTATACGGCTAAAGGGATAACATAATTGAAAGGTAGAGATTTCACAACCTGAGATAAAGAAAAAATAATTAGAATACCGTTTTTTAAGTACCTAATTGAGTCCAAGGTTTACTCATGATCAGTTAACTGGGGAGGAGGGGGGGGGGGGGGGGAATAGAGTTTAGAGGGCTCAGTGTTTATTACCTAAAAGTTGATTTTGTCTTTTCTTTGGTTTTGCAAGACGCTTTAGAAATGTGGTGTGGTACTACTCGTAATTAAAAAGGATGTCCTTTTTTGTGGAAAATATGTCAAAGGTTAACCTTTCAACTAAGATGACTCCTTTACGAGTAAAGGTTTGTAACTCAAGGCGAAATACCCCCGCACGAATTTTTTAGGAGAGTTTTAACCTGGAAATGGGTGGGGTGGTGTTCTAGCTAGGCTGGACATGGTGACATAAAACCTCTTTTCTGTTAAGAAATAGTAAGATTTCTTTTGTACATTCATAGCAAATCCGCTGAAACGCATGTTTGCTGGCGTGGATAAGCGAGCACCATCAT